CTTTGAGAAGTAGGACTCCTTCTTCTGAGTCTGTTTTAGTCTGGGAGCTCCATCGAAACCTGTCCACCATGGGTGACCCTGCTGGTGTTTGAAATACCAGTGGCACAGCCTCAAGCCTTGCAGCAACATGCAGGCCACCACAGTATGACAAACTGACAGACAAGTAGTGGTTAAATTAAATACAGCTATATATATTATGTGTTAGATCATCAAGATAGGCACAATAATTAAAAACATATAGACTCCAAACAAACCAAAAGGGAATATACAAGTTAAACAGGAAAATATATATAGGAGCCATATCATTAGCTCAATGTAACTAACTCCCAGGACTTTCAAACATCCATCCTTCAATTATACTGAAATTCTGTTGTGTTAAATAATATATGAAACAGGTAAAATCTTGGTCAAGATTTAGAAGTCTTTTCAGCTGATGTATATTGAATTGGGTAAATCTGCTGGTAAAAAAAAAACCCCTTAAAAGGGTAAAAAAAAAAAAAAAATGTTGAGTTTTGGCACTTATAACAAGATTTTCTTCATTATTAGTAAGCTATATGATTTTAATTCTTAATATTGACAATAGCACCATTGAGGGTGAACACCTCTGATGGATATATCTGAAAACATGACATTATTTCACAGGCCATATAATACCAATGATAGTTAAAGTGTCTTTTATGATTTGTGGAGTCATCTCTTTTCTCCTTTTTTCAGAGCTTATCATTACTTTATATTCTTCTTTCTATGTTACATCAATCCCTACCCTCTGCCCCCATCAAAATCTTGACTCAAAGATGTCATTTGCAATTGCACTTTTGGTGTTGATAAACCATTCCTTATACTCTTCAACTAAATGTCAATGTCCTATTTTATTCCTTCATAAAATAATGGCTTTTCAAACTCATAGCCTTACCTCCCATTGTCATCAAGTCCATTTCAACTCATAGCAACACTGTCTGACAGAGTAGAACTGCCCCATAGGGTTTACGAGGCTGTATGTAAATCTTTAGGGAAGCAGACTGTGGTATCTTTCTCCAGCAGAGTGGCTGGTAGGTTCAAATTGCTGACCATTTGGATAACACCTGAGTGCTTAACCACGGCTCCACCAGGGCTCCTTATATAATTACCTAGCTTATGTTAACTGGGTGCTAAATGAAGAAAGTTTTTT